AACGTCCTGAGGACGGCATCATCCCGTATACCTCATACAATCGATATGTCGTCGTCTGCTAGCTGGTCTAGTGGTGTGGTCCAGAAGCTAGTGGCTCGATGTTTGGTTATGGATATACGTAATGGAGTTGGTCGTTATGCTATGGCTGGTGGCCTTAGCCGTGGAGTGACGTGGCCAGTGCCCAACGGAATTTAAGCTTTTCTTTCGGACAAGCTAGCTGTGTGCGAAGCATTCTACTTTTTTGTTACTCCATGTTTTCTCAAAAACCCTCTTTTTTTCATTTGTAGACCACCATGTCTCATTACTACAATCGCAGATTATCATCGAAAGAATGCAAAACCTCTGCTGAAGAGATTCTCAAACGACGTTGCATAGCATCGTGCAAAGAAGCGATGAAAATGATGCCTTATTATTGCAAGATCAGGTATATAATAGCATTGGTATTGTGATTCAAACAGCACAGCAAAATACTGTTTTGATCTTTGGGGCGATTGGCTTGCAATGGTCTGGACGTACTGTGGTAGCTTATGCATCCACTTAGGTAAGAACCTCCGTAATATGTTGTTTGTTTTATTGTCTTTGCTCTAATTTTGGCCTTACAAACAAAACTTTGTAGGTGACCTTGTGGTTACTACTCCAACTGGTCGCGGAATCCCTTTAGTAGGTTTTATGACTGTTAACCAAAATGTTGTTACCATGCGATTGTTTCGCGTTTTTCAAGGAGAAAAACCCTTGATGGGAAAAACTCAAACCATCGTTATCGACAAAGATTTTGTCGAGTGGAGTGTGACCGAAGAGTGCTTTCCTCAAGCGACAGTTATTCGAAACCTGCCATCAACTGGTGTTATTCAGACTTTAGTGGCAACGGTAAGACGGACGCACTGTCAGTATAACAGTGCTTTGACCGAATCTGGAAAAACTTGCACAGCCATGTGGGCAAATTTTGATCGTGCCCGTTCTTCTCCGCCGAGAACACAACAGTGAATATAATTGAAGCCAACTGAAACCAGCTCAAGCAACTGATAGGGGGTGGTGAGCCCCGCTCAGTCCATTACGACGAATCTCGCATAATTGCACTTGGTCAATTGTAGTGGTTCTGCATCTGCCTATTTTTCTCGATTATCCTACTACTTTACCGCCACTTAATATTGGCGGCTCGAGATGGCTTGCAACTACCGGTTTGCCAGACCAGGCAATTGATCCACGCTGGTGTATGCGAGCTGCGACGAGATTAACTTTGGTTTTCGAAAGTGGTTATGAGCCTATTCTATCTGTGATCTGTCCAACAAATGCCCGTACACGAGTTCCGATACAATGGCACAATACCTGAAGCAGAAACAAAAATCGCATTACCGTGATAAAAACGTTGCTTTTGCTAAGCTTCGGCGTGGAGAACAAGCAAACGAGGTCGTATTATCTTCGGCATAATACTATTGCTTCGCATCGGGAAGTGTCCGGCCTGTACTCAACCAATTATCGAATCTCGCTTCTGTAAACGGTTTCCAACTCACGGAATATGATAGTGTAGTGTCACAATTCTTCGAGCTTTTGGTCGATGGAAGCAAAATTAAATCTCCAAATGGGAGGCAAAAAAGTGATGCGTAGCAGAGAAATGATGATCTATTTTTTATGGTAGATGTGGTGGTCGATCGGACTCGGCACAAGCCATTCAAGAAAACGATGAGCTGCAATATCACTCTATTAGCAAGCGGGCTCCAATTCAACGTTGTGATGCTAGTACACTCTCTAGGGTGGTCAAACGTGCAACATCGATCCAAGGTTCTAGCGATGTGATCGAGACAACTACCACCCAAAGTGTGTTGATGTTCTCCAGCTTCCGAAACCAAAACCAAAACCGAGCACTCGGAGACATCTAACCCAAACTCGGATTCGTCCAAAAACAGCCTGTCTGGCAGCTGTCCCTGACGTCAAAGATCCTGTGACACTTGGTGGTTTTATCCAGTGGAGCTAATGCATACAAGGGTTAGAGTTGGTGAAGACTGCTATTGACAGTTTCTGTCGTTCTGACTGATAAATTTCTTGAGTGCCGAGAGCCGAAGTGCAGTCGCGAAGTGATGCGTCAAACAGAATTTGAGCTCACTTTTGTGCTTCCCTTGGTATTAGCCCAAGCACTAACGCGGGTACTATCTGGAGAGCGTGAGCACCAAGAAAGGGTACAGGAACTGAGCTCACAG